CACACTTTCATTTGTTCCACTCCTGCCACAGCCCTGTTGGTGTGTGTGTGTGTGTGTGTGTGTGTGTGTGTGTGTGTGTGTGATTATCCCTACTTCAGAGTCACAGAAACTGAAGCCTAGAGAGGTGGAGTGACAGACAGAAGGTCACGCAGGCACAGCTGGGCTTTAACCCCATGCCCCCTGGCTCTGGCTCTGCGTCCTCACAACACCTGAGCTACCTGATGGCATCTTTGGAATGGGTGAGCCTGACGTCTCACACAGGCCCAGATCCTGTCCCTTAACTCTGCCAAAGCACACGAAGCACCCATGGGGCTGGAGCAGAGACACCCCACCCGGGTCCTCAGTGTTACTACTTTGGAGCCCCTGGCTTTGGGCATCAGCGCTCCTACGTGAGGTGCAGCACTGCGGTTAGCAGCAGGTGCAACTGCAGCAGTCGCTAAGGTAGCAAAATACTGAGCAGCCCCTTCCCAAAGAGCCCTCCGCCCTGGCTCCCTCCGTCTACCTAGGACCCGCTATAACCTCCCCACACACCAACCCACAAAGGTGGATGCTGGAATAGTGGGAGAATTCTCACAGTGCCCTGCTTTTGGGTCACTGTGGGTGGTAAGTATTTTGAATCATGTTCCTGGCAAAAAAAAAAAAAAAGGGGGGGTAATTAAGGAAGGACGCCAGGGCTGCTAATGGTGAGAGGTGGACAGGCCAGTTGATCCTGGGAGCCAGAGAGGAACAAGCAGGAAAGGTGGGGAAAAGGTGGTCAAGAGAGGTATGGGCAGTGAGCACAAGGCCCTCGGTGTCCAGGGCTCCACAAGGGCACAACAGTGCCAGTTCTTCCAGGCTGGACTTGGCACCTAATTTCCAGTCTGCCACGGTGTGGTCAGAGTGGACCAGCACGGGATGCTAGAAGCTATTGTAGCTGACCATGATGTTGACCATGACTGACTCTCCAGGCTTCACTGTGACCTTCTGGGAGCTGCCATCGGCCTGGCTGAGGATGGTGACAGAGGTGGTGTTCTCTGACAGACTGGAGATGAAGACGCAGAGAGAGGCCGTGCTGTACCCGGGCTCGGAATTCTGCAGGAAGGCCGTGAGGAATTCTTCCCCACCAGTGTTCCTGGGGTCCACTGTGGCCTCCTGGGTCAACCCTTAAGAAAAGCAGTTGTGGGTCCACTTAGCTATTCCTCCCTACTTCAAACCCAGCTCGTTGCTCTGTGCCTGAGACCATCTTGACATAATTCTTCCCTCTGCTCCTATTTCCTTCCTTACCCATGCAGCATTTGTTCATCTGTAATCCTGCTCGACTTTTGCTGCCTCGATGCCTGAGAACTTTCCACAGGGCTCTTGAACTCGAATACGGCAGGGCCAGACGAGGACTAGAAACATATGAAATAGTCCAGGTGGCCAGTGTGGACCCTGGAGCACCGTGCTCCACCTAGAATAAGTTGCTGCTGTTTTCTTTCGCTGACTGGGATTGTGGTTTGGTGTCCCAGTTTTCATGCCTCCCCTTCTACCTTCCAGATGAAACTGGTTGGCTAGCTGAGGCTTACAGTCTGACTGGACTCTGTTGCCAGTGGGGTTTCTCTCTTACTAGGTCTCGGTGGTGTGTACAAGAGGAAGGAAGGGAAAATGAGGGTTGTGGAAGTATAGATGAAGTCTCCTAAAAATAGAAGCGGGTAGACTTCAACAATCCTAACATGGGGGAGGGGATCCTACCTATTTATTCCCAGGCTGTCACTTCCATGTCAGCTAGCCTGGGGGATACTGGCATGATTGATGGAAGGGTATAAGTGAGAAATGCTGACCCAGGCAGGCAAGTTTCCCAGATACGAACAAGGACAAGGACAGGGCTCATTCTGACTTACCCCACAGGAGGGCTGCTCCGGCCCAGAGCACCCACCAGCTCCACAGAGATCCCATACCTGCAGCAGGGAGAGACAGAGGCTCATATAAGGCTATCCTGGTGGAGACTGTCATGGAGGTGGCAGAAGGGGACAGTCCTGGAGCAGGGGCTAACTGGGTGCAGGAAGGCTGAGGAGGGAATGAAGTTGGGCAGGTGTGTGGATCAGGTGTGTGGACGGGGTGGGCAACTTCTAGCCAGATATAGGGAGTGAGCTAGGGAGTTCAGAGTCCGGGAAAACAGGGAGAGGAATTGGGTATCCAGATGTCCCGAGGATGCCCCAAGGGAAAAGATAAGAGGTCTGGAAATAGGGGTCAGAGGAGAATAGCTGTCCTTCCAGGGAGAAACCTGCTCCTCCTCACATGCAGGTCCCTGGAGCTGCAGGAGCAGACTGTGGACTGAGCTATATAGTGGAGTTTCTCATTCCCTCAGGCCACACCGCTGGCCACATGCCAGGCAGACAGTGCCAGCTTCCTAGAGGAGGCCGCTGATAGCAGGCCTGGTGGAATAGTGAGTCCTGACGGTCCGTGGAGAAATGAACCTGTAGCTTGTGCTCCAGGAGGGCTGAGATTAGCTGGAACCTGCACCCAGGGGATGAGGGAAAATTTGATTCAGAAAGAGTGGTGTCCTTAGGGGGACAGCTGGGGAGTAGCGTGCCAGTGCCCTGGGTTTCTTGAGCAATGTAGTGGGGATGGAGGGTGAGGTAGCATTGATTGTGCTTGTTAGCTTGCTGGCCAGATTCCCATCTTTGGCCTCTACCTATAACAATATAAAGGTCCATATCAGGGTTCTGGCTCCTTGCAGTCCCCATGGGCTGATCCCTGGTCCGAAGCCACCCACATCTTGTTTCTAAATCCTAGTGAGGGAAACTGTCTAGGGATGTATGATCTGCGGCCTTGACTTGGGTTCTTGTGTAGGACATGAGGTTTCCATCCCAGAGAATTATTTGGTTTGGTATTTGAGATACTCCCCTGCTTCATCTCTCTCCATAGAGAAGGGACTAATTTGGGGATGGAGCTATGCCTTATCATCTCCGATGTTAGAGTTTTCCTGAGCTGTCATAAGGGGCTTTCAGGATGCAGAATTAACAGAGGGCATATAGACTTTCTGGATGTGATCCATGTCTCCTGAAAGGCTGGCACAACCCATACTCTGTTGGTTGAATCTGAAAGGTCTCCCACAGGCTATTGTGTTTTAACACGTGGTTGCAGCAACTGGTACTGTTTGATGAGGTTGTGGGATACAAGGTTTGAGGCACGAGGCCTCGCAAATCAAAACAAGCTACTAGGGACAGGCCTCAGAGGTTATACATGACTCTGTTTCTGTCCTGCTCTGATGCTTGCTTGCTTGATGTAACCAACCACCCACGCTCCCGCATGGACGGAGATGCTCTAGCCGGAATGCCCTGTGCACCACGGTAGACTGCACCCTCTCAAACCATGACCATGCTCCCGCATGGATGGAGATGCTCTAGCTGGAATGCCCTGCGCACCACAGTAGACTGCACCCTCTCAAACCATGAGCCCAAACGTTTTCTTCCTCTCTCGTTACTTCTCTTAGGCATTTTTTTAAAAAAAAAATCACAACCGTGACAGAAGTAACAGATGAGAACATCGGTGTAGAGAAGAGGGGTCGTTAGTGTAACTAAATCTGACATTATGGCCCTTGTATCTCTAGAACCAGTTTGTTATAAAGACAGCCGTGGAAGGATTTGGAGGAGTCTGCGGATGCTGGAGGAGCCCCAGAAGGTGGAAACAGAGCACTCAGGACTAATGTGGTGGAAAATCGAAGGCCAAAATGCCACTAGAAATGTGGACAATGGAGACCGTACTTACGAGCTTTCAGGCAGGAACAAGGACTTGGGAACAGGGGTAAAGGCCATTTATGCTACATTCTGGCTAAGACTCTTACTCCGTGCTGCCCATGAACAGTTTAATTAGGCGAGGCTGAATCTAACAGGAACGGAGTGATTCGTTTGGTAGAGGGATTATCACTGGCTGGCTCTAGTCAGGCATGTGGCGGGAAGGGAGCGAGGAAGTAGGAACCACATGCAGGTTGGGGCTCGAGAACATTTGAAGCCTCAGACAAGGTGAGAGCGAATAGAACAGATGGAATTATTTTAAAAACCAGGGAAGCTTCGCACATAGGAAAGGCACCCCAGGGAAGAGGCTCAGCCAGACACGGAGCAAGAAGGAAAGAGAAGGTATACAGGGACAGAGGAAGATAAAAGCCCCAAGCCCAAAGCTAGATGGGATAATATAAGCTAAGAAAAGCTGGCAGAAACAAGCCAAGCCAAGACTGGGCGTTCATAACTAAGAATAAGCCTCTGTGTGTGATTTATCTGGGAGCTGGACAGTGGGCCCCTCAAAAAGCTAAAACAGTAAAACCTCAAACAATGGTCCTGATTACCTGGGCCACATCTTGAGTTGGCAGAACCTGGCATCTTGCATGCGGTGCTGCTTTGGCCATGATGCATGAAGGCCGCAGTAGTGATGTGGTCATGGAAGCTTGCACAAGGCTCCAGGGGAAGAAAAAAACTTCTATCAGGCACGGTCTATGTGGCAGAGATGGAATCCATGTAGGGCAGCCCTCCCAGGTCAGTGCCTGAGGTAGTAGAACTAAGGTCCAAGTTACCATGGGAACTCAAGAATGGTGGTGGTGCCAGAAGCATTGCATGTATGTCAAGGAAAGCCACAGGCACTGACTGGAGCCAGAGTGAAAGGTCATGAGTGTTGCAATGGCGAGGCCACAGGGGTAAGGATGACCAAGCCCTTAAGAACCCAGATGGTGCCAATTGTGTGATCTGAGTTCTGGGCTCTAGTGGTAATGTTTAAGATTTGCCCTCTGGTTTGGGATATGACTTTGCTCCAGTCCTTCCTTACCCCCCTCCTCTGAACAGGAATGTTTAATCTGGGCCACTGGGTGTTGGAAGAATGTTAATGTTTTGTTTTTTTAAGGGCTCATAGCTAACAGTGCCTTGAGTCTCAGAAGAGATCGTTGGACTTGTGGCTAACACTGAAACTCTGGGGACCCTTGAAGTTGGATTAATCACTTTGCATGATCAGGTGGCCACGGGTCTACTAGGACCAGCGGTGGACTTCTAGGGTTTGAAACTGAAATGCCCCAAAGGATGTGTTTGAACGCCTCTGTGTAAGGAGTGTTTCACTGCTGTGACGAAAGTGGCAGCCTGAGGAGGGAGCTGAAGGTGTGTTCAGCTCACAGGAGTGCTGACTTCAGTCCATGCTCACCTGGGTCCATTGATTTTTCAGCTAGTGGCAAGTCACCAGTGTCACGGCAGTGGGACAGGGCAGAAGGAAACATTAGTGGGGGCTTTCAAGGGTATGTCCTCAGTGACCTCGTTTCCTCAACCAGGCTCTGCCCCTTAGTCTCCGTCACCTACCAATAACTCCATAAAATCATAAATGCGCTAACAGACTAACCCAGTGATAAAGTCATAAATTGCTTGGGGAACTGAGGCCAGGAAGGCAGATGTGAAGCGAAGAAAATGATGGCGGTATCCTAGCCTTGTCTCCGACCGAAGGCAGTTATGAGGAGCTGCTGCAGTTGAACTCTCTCTGCGGTATCGGGAGCTGAGGGGCCAGGGACCGTTCTCATTGCTGCACATGCACACCCATGAGGGATCTGCCTCCAACAGAGAGCCCGGCTTACTTATCATACCTCCTGCGTTGTGGTTGACCCTATCTTGTGGGCTCTTCAAGAGGATCATGGGAAGAAAAGCTCTAAAAGGGAGATCCAGTCTGCTATGACTTGAGAGGGGAAAGGCCACCTTATTTCCAAGACAATCCTATCCGACTAATGTGTGTTTAAATGTGTCAAAACCCTCTTCTATAAATATCAAACCTAAGATTTCATACTACTGTCTTCTCATTTGGGTCAGCCTGTCCCATGCTCTCATGAGGGCTGTCCTTTTGCCTGGCTTTGCTTAACAAACTTCTTAAGCTCTCCTTTCTGAGTAGAAAGATTTCTTTCAAGAACAGAGAACAGAGGAAAAGCTCCAGCCCAGCCATAGCTCCGGTAGCACGCAGTGTGAGCACGGAGCCATGCTTTCTGTGAGGTCTTGGGTTCCACGTGCACTCTCCATCCTGGCTTGTTTTGCAATCCTTTCCTGTAGGGTTTTCAAGGACCGCACGCTTCATGTGAGTTGGCCGTCCTTGTGGAGAGGAGAATCTTCTGGGGTACCGGCAGCAGCAATGCTGAGCCCCATCTCCCCACTGTCACAGAGAACCACCCAGTACTTAGCGAAGGCCTCTATGCTGAATATAGGGAACTCTGGGGAGATTTCCATTCCCCAGTCCTGAGTTAGATGGGATAGTAGTGTCTTGCTTGAGAGGATATGGCCAGTGGAGGTTCGTCTTCCCCGCAATGCCCTGAGTTACTCTCTTGTGCTGATAAAAGTGAGGCCAGCCACGCGAGACCCTGCGGAGATGAGACAGCTCTGAAATGATGCCACAGTGATGCTCTGATCAGCGCAGGGTGGTGGCCAGGCTTGCTCTCCAGAGCCTGCCTGCAATCCTTTGCCGGCAACCCTCTCTGCCTCGCTTTTGACACTGTGTACAGCCCTGCTTATCTCTGCTCCCACCAGGCTGTATCATTGATTTGCCTGCTCTCACAGGCATACAAACCCAGATGCTCAGCATTTTACCAAAGCCTCGTGTAAAATGTGTGTGTGCACATATGCACAAGCCATGTGAGCAGTTTGGCTATAGTCCTCCTTGAAGCAGGTCCAGGATCTCAGCTCATCCCTTCCTCTCATGCTGAGTCGGATGCCTGATGCCCTGATGTCGGGGAGTTATCTGTGCTGAGGAGGAGTGGGTGTGGCTCTGTTCAGCCTGGATGGACTCTATCTGTGCTTTCCCTAGGCTGTTAAGTCTCTGACCCCAGGGGAGCATATTGTGTTATATTTTTCTCTTTTTGCTTGTTTTGGGGTGGAGGAGGGTCACCACCCAGCTCCCAAATAAATTACACACAGAGACTTATTCTTAGTTATGAATGCCTGGCCTTAGCTTGGCTTGTTTCTTACCAGCTTTTCTTAATGTAGATTATCCCAATTACCTTTTTCCTCTGGGCTTTTTATCTTTCCCTATTTCTGTACCTTTCTTTCTTCTTACTCCATGCCTGGCTGGGTGACTGGCCCCTGATGTCCTCCTCTCCTTGTTCTTTTGTTCCTCATTCTCTCTCCTCCCAGAGTTTCTCCTTCTATTTATCCTCTCTGCCTGCCAGCCCCACCTATCCTTGCTTCTGCCTTGCTATTGGCCATTCATCTCTTTGTTAGGACCATCAGGTGTTTTAGACAGGCACAGCAGCACAGCTTCACAGAGCTAAACAAATGCAGCGTAAACAAAAGTCACACACCTGAAGATAATATTCCCCAACATGCACACTCTCATGTCTTGCCATTTTAAGGGACCTTGGGATAACAAAAGGGGACAGAGCCGGCAGGATGCCCAATCTCAGGGATCTTAGGCAGCCCAGTTAGTTGTTGCATGCACAGGTGGAAGCATAAGGGAGCAGATGACTAAATCTGGGGCTACCCAGGGAAGAGGCTGCTCTCACCTCTGCTCTGGGAACAAGGCCTGAGTAAGGGACACCTTTCTCCTTACAGTATTCTGTTTGTCTCTTCTGTGTGAGGAACCGTTCATCCCCCAGGACTTTATTCCTGGTAGCAAGCCTACTCCATTACTTACATATCACTGGACAGACATTTGGTGGAGAATGACATTAAGTATAATCTCAGTTTACAAAGGTCCACTTTGAAAAGCATTACAGGGTCCCTATAAGACCAACCCCCCAGTTCCTGATAGTGTTTCACTATTCCTGGTTGGAAAGGAAGATCATCCAGGTGGGAGAATGGGGGGATGAACAATTAGATAGATGCTAAGTCCTGAGATCGACATCCCAAAAATACTGCAGATGCCGGGACCAGGGGACCAATTCCAAGACACCGGAATTCACAAGTTCATGGGCTACCACTAGCTAGTTCTTGGTTAAGTGGAAGATACTGTATAAAGGGCAAATGTTCTGGGATCATCTTTCCATCACGACCCTGGCAGTGAGGTTCCGATCCAGCTTGGATCACAGTATTCTCCTTCCCCTAAGTCTTCATGAAAACAATAGCCATTTGCTGTGTCCTCCAGCTCCACAGAGGAACCTGCTGTATCCTAAGCTGCAGTTATAGGGGTAATGCGCAATCCCCCCTTTTTTCCTTGTGTATTTTCTCTTCCTTCTGCTCTTCCTTGCTGGTAGTTGGGAGGTAGTTGGTAGGTAGTAAGTGACTATTACAGTTTGGTGTCCTTTGTCCTTTGGAAGTTTTGTTGTCACGGGAAGTTTTTGCTGGACGTCAACGTGCTAGATAGATTAGCCCATAGCTTAGACTCTGAAGAGGAGGATTCTGCTCAAGGCCCACAGCAGGCAAGAATATATACTCTAAAGTGTTAGTGGACAGCTGACTGTCATTTATTGTATTCTGACTTCAACTTCCCTCTTTCATATTCAAGTTCATAAACTATGGATATTTTCACAAACTTGTGTGTCATCCTCCTGCAGGGAGCATGGTAATCTTCTGTGTATTGTTCCAATTTTAGTATATATGTTGCCGAAGCGAGCCCTTGGCTTCCTTTGAATAGGTTGGTGAACTTTGTGGTGTTGCTCTGTCTCACTAAGGAAAAGGGTACAAAGTAGGAAGGAGCCAAGCAGGGGAAGGGTGTAGAGAAGGATATAGGAGGTGTTTGGGTAAGAAAAAGCAAAAAGAGCTGGACAGTGATGGTGCATGCCTTTAATCCCAGCACTCGGGAGGCAGAGGCAGGCGGATCTCTGTGAGTTCGAGGCCAACCTGGTCTACAGAGTGAGTTCCAGGACAGCCAGGGCTGTTAACAGAGAAACCCTGTCTAGGAAAACCAACCAACCAAACAAACAAACAAACAAAGGAGAGGGTAAAAAGAAAAGACAATATTTTTCATCAAAGAAGGATTTTGTACGGTAAAGTAAGATTTCTGTTAAAATGAAATGCCTGGATTCTTTCCAGAATGGAAAAGGTGAAGGCAAACCAGAAGCCATAGCAAGCTGCAGAAGGTCCAGGTGGTAGACAACGAAGCTTCACACACACACACACACACACACACACACCACACTCTTAAAGGATTCAGATTTCTTGCTGGGCAATAGTGGCGCACACCTTTAATCCCAGCATTGGAGAGACAGAGGCAGACAGATCTCTGTGAGTTTGAGGCCAGCCTGGTCTACAGAGTGAGTTCCAGAACAGACAGGGCTAAGCAGAGAAAAAAAGGTTTAAATTTCATAATGTCAAAATGCAGCATATTGACATAAAACAGGAACCTGGTTCTTTATTTAGAACAAGGAGGTTTTCTTAAGATATTGATCTGTTCTTGGTAACATTTATAAGAACTGGCTTAAAGAACAAGTGTTTCATGCTTATCAAGATAATTACTTGTGTTTTCTGTTGCTTATCAGCCTTTTTAACTGTGAAGGAACCCGAGTCTTAATAAAATCAGGACTCGTTTCCAAACACGTTCACTGCGAGCTGTAAGAGGAGCTGGAACGAAGGCCGCTGCCTCCTCCTCAGGATGAGCGCACGTTTCCTGGGGGCGGGGGAGGGGGTCAACCAAAGCTTGGGGGTCAAAGCTGAAGAGGGTAAGGGACCACGAAGACAGCCAGTGTTTTGGCCCTTGCCCTGAAAGGTCATCCAGGACCTAGGAGGACACGACGTCTCTAAAATGGTCCTAAAACTCTGATGTCACCTGTCCTATTGATCAGAGAGGCCGTGGAGTCACCAGGGCTTAGATGTCAAGGGTGTCCATCCTGGAAAAAGGAGAGTCACCAAGGGAAGAAATGTCCCCTAGGTGTCCAAGAGAAGCCACAAGGTCAGCAAGACCCTGGCACACCAGCACAGCTGAAAGAAGAAAAGCCATGGGTCTAATTAGGGGGCACCCCTGAGAGTAACCCTACTGGGTCTCTATTCTCCTAACAGTAAAAGGTGGATTGTCGCCAGCTGCATGGACTCCAGCACCCAGCAGGAAAGGACAACTCCAGAGGGCAGCGAGGGCCAGTGAGGGGCAGGGGCAGTGCTTCCCACCAGCCCAGACTTCCTGAGCAACCCAAAGGGTGAAAGGGAGAACCAACTCCCACAAGTGCTCGCTCCCTTTCTTTCTCTCTCTCTCTTTCTTATGTAACAGAAAGTAAAATTAACTGATAATAGTAAGGGATCTACAAGTACCTGACCAAGATTCTGACCTTGGCCTGGTTGAGCAGAGTGCCCCAGGCCCTCCGAGGATGGCACTCAGACCAGGGGTTCCAGCACGCTAAGTCCTCCAATGGCGGTCAAGCATTCAGGACATTACTAATTTGGTTCTTCTGTCCTTCAGAAAACCCTAGCTTTTAGAAAGTGATCATGGTGAGTGCTCTTCAGAGCAGGAAACCAATTGAGAACTTATATATCTTCTTTAAAAGGAACCTCAAGGGCCAACGTCAAATGAAAACCTATTGGCTCATATCCTAACTCCTGAGTTGTAGTGACATCTTGTTTGTAATCTAACAAATAAAGCTTGCCTGAGAGATCAGAGAAGCAGTGCAGTTAGCCACTAGAGAGACATTATGCCTCTACTAACACTCAGACCAAAGGGGTGATCCTGCCTCTAGGAATCCTCTCTGTGAAACCTCAGACTGCGTGCCCAGACTGAATCCTTAGACTGTATCTGAGCTCCTGTCTCCTCCCGCCTTATATTCCTCTCTCTGCCCAGACATATCCCTTCCTGTCTCCACCTCCCTAGTGCTGGGATTAAAGGCATGTGACTCCCAAGTACTGGGAATAAAGGTGTGAACCATTGCTACCTGGCTCTCTTGCTGTCTTAGACTGGATCAATTTTGTGTAGCCCAGGGTGGCACTGACCTCACAGAGAGCCGTCTGCCTTTGTCTCCTGAGTGCTGGAATTAAAGGTGTGTGCTACCACTGCCTGGCCTCTGACCTTGAGGCAAGCTTTATTTGTTAAAGCACAAAAAAGACATCACTATACCACGTTTGGGGCTTCTCTTCCAGGGTGTGTCTGGACAATATTTGTGCCTACATGTACCCACGCCTCACTAAACAAATGCTGCCTAGACTTCTTTGAGCATGCTTTTAAGATACTGTATTTCTTTTCTGTGAAAAACTAATTTATCTGGCTCCGAGTGAATGCAGCCCACGCTCTGTTTAGGATCTCCTCGGCTGGGGATATTCTCTGGGGGGAATGTCACCCCAGCTAGGTCTGCCATCCTCATCCTCACACTCAATCTACAATCTCCATTTTATTCCAGTCTTCAAAATATATCCATTAACTTTCAGTCCAGGGACCCTCCGGGTTTAACTGCGTAGCTAGCAATACTGAGTAGCTATACTCAATGGCCATAGATCAGTCTATCTCCTATCCTGGTTCCTTTTGCTTTATGAGGGCTTACAGAAAAACAAAACAAAACAAGAACTAAACATTTGGCTACTCCTTGTGGTACAGCAGACTTTTAATTCCTGTTATCTTCCCTCCTGGGTATTCCTATCCCCGGGTCCCTTTTTCTCAGTGCTAGAATTTCCCAATCACTCCGTGGATGGATATGGCCACGGCTGGCCTTTCTATTGTAAAATATATTTTACTCTGCATGCAGTTCTGGTCCCTGCTTCCTGTAATGGCTACCCTGGTTTGGTTCTTCCAGAACTCAGTAGATTCAACTTCAAATGGTCATACGACGAAGATATTGCTGCATCTTTCCTGGGCCAGATCTCAAAGCATCATCTTCTACACTAGATCAAACGGGACAGCATTTCTGTGGGACTTGCCGGCCAACAAAACAAGGCAGGTATTTTATATCAATGACTTCCGCAGCTGCCTTGCTTCCTGATGTAGCTAGCGTTAAGACTGGGGCCCTAGGCAGGGTCTATGTCTTAGCAAGTGCTGAAGGGAGAGGTCTCTACTTTGCCCTCCTAGAAGAATATGAGCCTCCATATTGGCTGAGAGAGGAATGAGACCAGGTAGGCAGGGGTTAGACATGGTGGGAGAAATCGCAGCTGTGGCTTTTGATTGTCAAAAATATCCCTTGATGATTGAACATCCTTGATGCTACAATTAGGTCTTCCCACTGTATCAAAAACAGAGACTTTCGGGAATTTCCCAGTTGCCACATATGCACGCCAGGGGAGGGTTTGCATGGTCAAAAGATCCTGACTTCATTATAATATCATTTGCATTGCAACTTTGTCTTCGTGCCTCCCCAGACGTTTCAAGGGAATCGTGGGAAGAAATACTTTAAAAGGGTGAACTGGTGCACCATGATTTGGGAGAGAAAAAAGGTCATCTTATTCTCATAAATCTATCTCCTACATATTCCTATCTCATATCACTTATCTCCAACATATTCATAAAAAACAGCCAATCCGCCGTCTCTTGCTGCTGCTCGCCCTCCCCGGGTCCGCCCACTCTAAGCTCTCAAATATGTGCTCACTTTGCTTTGCCCGATATACTTCAGCTTAAAGAGTTAATGTTTCTCAGCTGAATTCTTCCCTTCGCGGGGAAGAAATGAACTCTGCAGTGCAGTAACAGAGTCGCTGCCCGCAGGCCACCTCTGAACATGTGTTCCAGGTTGAGCCATGAGCATGCCACAGTTTGAGTGGCATTTCCTGCCCAAACAGTAACACCATCTGCAGCTTCTTTTCTCTCTGCTGCTCTAAACAGCCCCTGCTCTCCTTTGTAGAGGACTTTCCAGTCTGCCATGCCCAGCAGTAACAAAGTACCCAACAATGTACCCAGGTAGAACAGATAAGACTCCTAGCCCTTGCTCTTCCTGGCATGCTGGCATCCTTCCTCCATGGTCCCTTAGTCACAGGCATCCAGAAAGATCTACTCCCATCCTTATGATTAGCATACTAACCCCCAAGCTTTCCCAACACACTCCTCCAATCATGATGCTTCTTCGAATTCCAGTAGGTCCCCTGAACACTGTGGCTTCTCAGTGCCTGGCTTTCCTCTCGTCCAGTGATCATGTCCTCAAGCCAAGCTGTCAATCACATTATTACACTTATGCTTTATGGTGGGAATCCAGTGGTGGGGATAACCCTAGAGGTCCCAGCCTGTTCATCTCTAGGCGGCATCAGTTCCTGAACTACAGACGGCCCAGAGACTCAGCTCCAGGCACCTCACTTTCTGACCCCCAGCTTCTGCATCTCCACCTTATTCTCTTTAGTACCAGTACTCCAAACAACCTTCCGTCCCAACCTCCATTAGCTGGCTGTAAACTTATGGTCCTGCACCTCCTTCTGACTGAGCTGCCCTCAGCACTCATCCAGATCCCCACCCCAAATCACACACCTTCACTCACCTCCTCAAACTGTAAACTGACTCCAGCTCTCGGACTCTGCCAGCCCTCTAGAAGCCCGATGTAGACGGATAAAATACAGGGCCACTCTGGCTACTTTGTAGCAAAGCTCCTTGAAAGGAACTTTTGTACTTCCTGTCTTTGTTTCATAGCTGCTTCTGGGACTCTTTCCAACCAAGCTTTCCCGCCTATCAACTGACCAAAACTCACAAAAGACCTCCATGTTACCCAAACCACAGAGGCCTTTCCTGCT